TGCAACAAGTCATGGACTCAACTCAACCATCAGATCAAGCCGTTTTTCAGGTTTCATGGACGTTTTTTAAATTGGATCTAAAGGTTTTCTTAAAGAACACATAGACATATTCAACCAAATGTTATTGCCCTAGACCCCTAGAACACCAAAACTTTGCTATTAAAAGTGTCAACAAAATATCTAGAAGAAAAATCGCTTGACTTGGCTTCAAATTGAGAATTAAAAAGAATCTAGCTTTACTCATTGAAAGAAAGAAAATTCATAAAACAACTCTAAAAATCCTGGAGGAGAAAAAATTATACTCTTCGAACTTTGGCGAATTTTTTCACCATTTTCGCAAAAATTTCTGTAGGTCTAACGGTTTTTTGTATATGGTCAACAAAACAGTGCGATTTGCGGTCAGAAAGCAGTGATGAAACTAAAACACAAAACCACCCCGGACAAATCGGAATGCATTTTTTCTCTGAATACGCATGATGGCCCCACATCAACACACCGATCTGGTGCTAAGGGAAAAATAATCAAACAGCATTCAACCGGGCAATAGTTCAAAAAATTCCAGTTTTTCTAAAAAAAAATTAAAGCCTAACCAGCCTTGTCGGAACTTTAAAAAATCATTTTGGATTTGCTGGTCCGTTAAAAATATTTGATGTACAAAGAAAAATATCCTCGTATGTTTTGTTATATTATCTAAGTTTCTATTAAAGTCTCTGTTCTCTAAGAGTTTCGTAGTCTAAAATGGCAACCTTGCGTTCTATTTCAGGATTCAGGACTCACAGGAGTTTAACAAATCGGCGCCATCGAAGAAAACTAGACAATCTAAGCCGAAACCTTGAAATCAACTAAAATTTTTAACAACAAATGTACCCAGAGGTTACCTAGCAGGAGATGAGTCCCTTGATTTACCTTTTAATTCTCATTTGACTAACTGGGATTGGACATTTGGAGGCTTCCAATGTAAAGACGTCGCTGGGGAACGTTTCATCTCGGATTTAAAACAATAATTTTCCCAAAAATCGAAACTTTTTGTTCCACTAAAGCTGTTGATCTGTTGATCCTATTTTTAAAAAGAAAATAAAAGACCTATGCGAGGAGTACAACTCACAACCAGAGCCAAACTTTCCATCCTAGTATTCAAGCTCAGTATTCAAGGCCGCATCCTAGTATTCAAGGCCGCATCTAAGCCAACAACGGACCTGGACCATCCATTCCAGGGACGACCATCCTTTCCATCAAACTCCTTCGGATATCTCTTCAAGCCAACTAGTGATCCTTGACCGAACTGAAGGTAGTCTGGTGGACTTCCCATTCTAGGAAGGGGACGATCAAAATCTAGGTGATTATTTTAGCTTCTCTTGCCCTTGCAGAAATTTCCGCCCTCCTGAGTTTTTTGGTGATCGGGTGTTCGTAGATTTTGTAGGTTACTTTGGACAACAAGGTTCAAACGCAAACCCGTTGATCTTGCACTCCAGTGATCTAGAGACAAAACCAACTACCACAAACACTGCAAGGGCACATGAACAAATTCAATGGCCGAGACGGTCGGCACGATCTCTGATTAACCAAATTCCAGCTTTCAATGTCTCAGAAACGGCAGAATTGAGCCTAAAAGACCAGGGCAACCCTTCAGTTTGTTCCATTTCTCAGTAGGAGTTAGTTGATTTCGCACAGGAGAGGACACAAAATGGCCAGAACCATATCGACATTGAGCCGATAACAGAAAACTAGTTACAGTTTTGAGTGCCCGAGTTCTTAAAAGAAGGTAAAGAGGGAAAAATTTCAAACGTTGAAAAATTTTTGGCCAAAGTTCAGTACTCAGATTAAAAAGTTCTGCAATTGCTCTAAATCATCCCTTGTCTTAGTCGTTTTTTGGTGCAAACAAAACTTTTCAGTCAGTTTACTTCTAGTATTTAAGCAGCCATCCGATCAGTTTTAACTCTTATGACTTTTTATATCATACAACGTTGTTTGTCTTATAGCTTAAGAGCGATCACAGCGCTCATTTTTATAATGCTAACTTTAGTTGTTATTTCTTTTAATTTTTTTTTCCAGAAACCCGAAGTAAGGTATGTGTAATTCAAAAAGATGTCATTACATCTTTATTTTTCCTGAGTTAAGGGAAGTGTTGTGATTGATCTATTTAAATAAAAAGATAGTTGCTTGATTTTTGTCTGTCCTTGAAAACTCACAATTCTTTTCAATATTCAATGTTCGATTGTTGAGAAAGATTCTTAAATCATTCCTAATTCTTTTTCTCATTCTTTTTAACAATTTTTTTATTCTCATTAGCTATCAATGCCAGTTAATACATGGCACTCCAATCTTCCCAGGGAATAGTGGAATCCGTTTCGTGGTTTTGCCAGAATGTACGTACTCCCTTCAAGCCAGATTTGTTATTTGACTACGCAATATTTAGGAATTAAAACAGTATGCTCCTAAAATCCCGGGTTGACCCCCATACACCGAAAATGCTTATCATACAATTCCATACAACAAAAATCATTATCATTCAAATCCATACATCAAGTGTTTAGAGAAAATGCTTGTTATACAATTTTCATACACTTTCGAAAAACAATAGAAAAAAAATTAAACCAATTCTGCGGCTTTTTGAGAACAGTTGAACAGACTGGTGACAAAAAAAAACTGATTTAAAAATTTTTTTTGAAAAAAATGCTTTCCATACAATTTCCAGAGATGGAAATTGTATGACTGGCTTTATTGATGGCGACACAAAAGTAATTTTGAAAATTTGCCCCAAAAATCAGTTTTTTTTTTCAACCGCTAATCGAATTTTGTACGCAAACAAACATTTTCCGAAAAAAAAATTTTGCATGCAAAATTTAATTTTTTTGTGTGCATAACGTAGTCCTTGATACGATAATATTGGCTTTTTTCTTTTCACTTAAACCTTTTTTTTTTAAAACTTGAAAATTCCTATTTTTTTGTATGGCGTGTTTATGTATGCCTTGATCAATGCCTGATAATTTGATAATTCAAAAATTTAAAATGATCATCACTGAAAAATTTTGCCAAAAATTAAAAGTTTGTTACTTTTGTTATATCGTTTGTGAAAGACATCAGGCAGACAATTCAGGTCGTTTTTTATGCATAGAGAATGCAAGACCGTCTAACATTTGGTGCTTTGAGTAACCAAGGTCTTTGTCTCTTGTGTTCGGTTGCAAACACAACCCAAAATTTTTCAGAAAATAAATTTAACGAACAAAAAACAACTTTTTGGTTTATGAGAAAACACCTATCATACAATTTCCATTTATGGGAAAATGTTTATTATAGAGTTTTCATACAATTTTCTGTACGTATGGAATTGTATGAAATTGTATGAAAAAAAATTCTTATTTTTTAGAATTGTATGATAAGAATTTTTGGTCAACCCGGGATGCTTGTCTAAATTGTTAAGGAGAATAAGAGTAACAATTAAGAATGAACTCAAAACAGTCTCAACAATCGAACACTGATTACCGAAAAATCACTTCAACGAAGCGTGAGCATTCAAGGACTGACCAATAACAAACAAATATCTGTTTAAGCAAAATGACCAATCACAGAAGTTCCCTCACTCCGGGAAAGTAAAGAGGTATTAGTAAATAACAAAACCACATATACTTTTTCCTCAGGCACCTGAGAATATGATAATAGGAAAATCACAACTTAATTGAGCGTTTGGAAAGTTAGCGCTGAGATAGCAATAGAGGTAGACTATGAAAAACGTTGTGCAGGATGAAAAGCTGAAAGGCTAAGACTGATGCGATGGATTTTACAAATATTGCGGGCAAGCTGAAAAAATCAATTCGAAACAAAAATGAATGACTAGAGTAAGCACCTAGGATAGGGGCTGAGTAAGTTTGTATCCTGAAAATATTCGATTTAATTGAAACGAGTATCTTGGGGTATTCAACTTGTTATTTAACAAGCCCATGCCTGTTTTCTTTTTGTCACGGCATTCTACCCGAACACCTTTGATAATTCAGCATTGACCACATATATCTCCAAAGTCATGTGCGGCATCAAACACTGCTGAAAACGGTGGTAAGCCAACAAGCCGAAAGACCAACAAACCGAAATAAAAATTATCATTCCAACCAGCCAAAAATTAGTATTATGCCGCTGCTGTTATGCAATTGTTACGTAATTCTGATCTGATTTAATTTAATCCGATGCAATTTCGGCTTCAATATATGGCGGCTTACAGAAATGGCGGTTGCTTGATTATATGCCGCTGAAAAAAGTTTATATTCGGTATTTTTTGGGTTACGCTGAAATTAAATTCAGTTCTGGTTTTTCAGAATTTCTCAAAATTCTTAGTTTTTCAAAATAACAGAAGGTTAGCTGACAAAAACAAAAAAAGAAACAGACAACACAATTCCTGATTTTTTATTTTCCTAATCGCAAAACGATGGGTAATTTTTGTTTAATTTGCACAACTTGTCATATTTTTCATTGGGAAGAATGAACGTATAAATATGTTTTCACAGTCTTCTCAAAGGAAATTCAATCGGCAAAACTTTGAGTTAAACCAAAATCAAATGCTCAGAAAAAGAACTGCCAGTTGCTGTACAAATTATTTCGTCAAAAAAAAAGAATTAACCGGAACCAATTTTTTAGGTTTTTCTAAAATTTTTGAGATGAAATTGTTGCAAAAGCTGACAAGTTTCATCATAGTGATTTTTTTGGTACCAAACAAATGATTTTGTCTTATTTCTGCCGAACAAAAAAATTGTTTTAGTTTTTTGAGCATTCTCTTTTTGATGAGAGTTCTAAAAGTTTTTTAAAAATTAAAACTTCCTTTGGAAAAATTTAGACTAATTAATTTGTTTGTTATCAAAAATTATCATTTTGATATCAGAAAACGTTTTCTACAAAATGTTTCGAAAAAATTGGCGCCTCTAAAACCTGAAGCAGGATATATGATGCCGATGACATTATGTTGCTGGTAGTGTTGCTGGTAAACTATGCTGCTACTAGTTTGGCCATCTTACCTTCAAATGTCACACCGAACGGCATATCTTCATCGTAAACGTCTTTTTCTAGACAAATCTTTCCCGTGCCATCAAAAGATTCTAAAACAGATTAAATAACCGCGGTTAATACTGTTACCAGTCAAAGAAAATCCTAATCGAAATTCAGGTTAGTTTCAAACCAGATTAATTTCTGCTTTGAAAGTCTTTTCATTTTCTCACCAACAAGAACTGGTCTTTTTTTATCTATGAAAGAACAAAAAATACATGGTAGTATAAGTTAGTTTCTAACTTAACTATAAATTTTGCGCTAACTTTATTTCTGATAAAAGTCATAAAAACTCGCAGAGCGAACTTCAATCTGCTCGGCATCGAAAAAAAAAGTGTAAGCAAAAAAAACAAAAAAAGAGTTTTGTAATCGATTAGAGGGGGGTGAACTGAATGATTATCTGCTATACAGAGTTGATAATAGCTAAAATCGCTTCAAAACACAGTAAAATTAGCTCATTCTTCCACTCATGATTCTCCCTTTTTCTTGTTTTCTATTGACATGTACACTATTCATACTCACAGAAAAAAGCAGGCTAATTTTTCTCGACACTGAGACAAAGTTATGGGATTTTTTTCCTGACCACGAATCATGGTTTACAAGGCTTTAAGCTTATACCATACTTGGAAACACAAGCTTTCTAGGGAGGATTGGAACAAATGAGTTAGGATGGATCTCTAACTCATAGAGTAATTTCGGATAGGGTACACCGTCTGCTCGTCACGCTATCTTATTTTCGGCCGGATAGATTCGTGCAACTTCTTAGTCTAATACCGATCCTAATCTTACTCTTATATCTACTAGTCTCAGGGTGTTTAACTAGTCTCTGCTAGGCTCAATAGATCTAGAGTATACTGGCTTATCCGAGTTAGTTCCAGAATGAGAACAACTGTATTCTAAGTTTAATTCAAATTACTCTGGTGTTGAAACTACAAGTAGTTTCAACACTTACAAATAAGTGGGTTGTTAGTTTGATGGAGTATGATTGGTTAATATTAAATATTTTATAGTGATAAAATATCCAATTTATCCAATAATAAAATGTAGTTTAGATCAGGTTCCACCCATCCGGGGTTTAGAGAGTTTTAGCTTTTCAATGTTGTTTTGTAGTTTAGGATGGAATATGGTGTTTTTCTTAAGAGATTGCGAGCATATTCTTTTTTCTGGTTTGGAAGAAGAGATGTTATCACGATAGTTTCGGGAGATCATATTATGATTTCTGATCGGTTGTGATGAGTGTTGACCTGGTTGATTTTAGAGAATAGGAATGGTCTAATCACATTCGAGAGTGTCGTGTAGTTTGACTTTGGATGCAGTGCCTGGTGACTTGGATCTGTACGTATACTTGAACATCGAGATGGCAATTGTTCTGTCGCAATGGGTTTCCTTTGCTGCGATGCCAAGTCGTACTTTAATCCGTTGAGTGTAGTGACTGTAGGCAGCATAGCGGGTGTATTTTGCCATTCCGCAGTGGGAGTGTGATTGGGTTGTCAAATTCCTTGCTGCTCGTCTTTGGGCTGTATGTAATCTATATACTGCATTGTATTATTTACATATACAAATCTTTGTTAATTTTGTTTTTAGTTATGATCTTGTATTAATTTTTATCGCAAAAGCGTTCTTCTTTAGTTCCGTTATTTTTGAGAGAATAATTCATCCAGTTCTAAGCTTGTTTTAATCCGGTTTGGTTACCGTGCGTTTTCTTTTCTTAGTCATGCTGTTAGGTTGTGGTTTGTGGTGTTTAGTAAGCTTGCGTTGGTTAGTTTGGATTATTATATAATTCCATTCCAACCGGGTTAAAGGAAAGTTTGAAATGTTAAAACTGGTTAGAGTTATTATCAGTGAAAGTTTAAAGATAAATTCAATATTTTAAAGAAGTCTTTGTGGGCGAGCAATGCGAATTTTGATAGAATTTATGGGCGAGTGAAAATTTAAAACTACAAAGAAGCGTCTTAGAAAAGGTTAGTACTGCTTTAATCTTATAGGCAATTTTTATTAATTTACTACTTTGAAATTATTAATTTCACAGGTTTCTTATGTCGGTTGAAATCATCAATTTATTTTCATTTTAAAAATATTTATTGCATATGGGAAAAGAGTTAATTTATCAATTTAGTGTTGTTTTGGGGGTAAATTTTACTGCTTCATTTATTGCAATTGGTTCATCTAAATTTTTGATTCTAGAAAAAGTTTTCAGTTTTTTATTTCGTTATTCTTTTTTGTAGATGATTGATGATTGTACCTGTGAAGACTAAAGAAAAAGAGAAAACATTCATTAAGAATGGTTAGTTTTGTTTCGAATTTATTAGAATAATTTGTTCAATTCGTACTTACCTTATTCGTCGGGGAAGAATCCATGGGGAAAAACGTCGTGGATTATTTCTGATGATGTTATTAGTTTAGCTAGTAAGCGAATGATGTATTTAGTTTGGAGAAGTGGCCAAAGCAATTCGAGTGTGGTCGGGTTATTTATTGGTTTTTTGACAATTAAGTTGGGTTTAAGCAATTTTTGCTGAGGGGAAGTTTGGAGGGCTTTTAAGGGACTTCCTAGTTTTATTTTTTTATTCATTGAATGATTGTGTGTATTTGAGAATTATTTGTACTTTAGGCTAAATGATCATGTCGATATTGTTCTTTAGGCTAATTTAATATTTTTGCTTGAGGGTATTTCGAGGTCTTAGCTGGGACAATATTGTTGATTTTTGTTCTAGTTGATAGGGGAGGGTCGTAATATTGAGGTTTTGTTTATTTCAGTTGTCAAATTTGAGCGGGTTGCTTATTTTTGACCTGGAGGTCTTAAAGTTATAGTTAGAGATACGCTTGAAGGTTATTATTTGTCGGCTAAAGAAGTCGTGTCAAAAATGGGGTGATGATTCGGAAAGGTTCTTATTGGCTGAAATTGAACTAGTTTGTTCGAGTGCTTTCCAGCAAGAATTTTGAGAAAATGTTCTGTCCATAAAAATATCTTCAAGAGGTGAAAATGTTAATTGATTTAAAATGGTTTTGAAATTCAACTTTCTTTAATATTTTAGATAGCGGGATGAATGTTTTGTAATCTTTTCGTGGCTGATTACAAAGTCGCGATGATTGTCTATGTGGAGATTTTTCTTTTCGATCTTGTGATATAGATTGTCTTCTAATTTTCGATTTTTTCTTTCTGCTTGATTGATTTTTTTTTGTTGTCTAAGTATTTTGATATTTGTTTGGGAAGTTATTTGTCCTTTTTATCTAATTGTTTTTAGATGGCGTACATATCAGTGCTTTGATTTTGATGTTGTTCTGAGCTATTTTGAATATCTTTAAGTCATGTAAAAGAGTATAGTTGAGTAAGTTCTTGAAGTGCGTACTCTTTTGGGTAATAAGGTAAAAGATTGTTTAGTGTTTAGATGTTGAACGATTTTTTTTGTTTAAGCCTAAAAGTTTGTATGTTACATCAGTGGGTTTATCAATTATTTGATACGGTCCTCTTCGGAGTGGTTGTAATTTTTTAGAAATTCATTTTTGTGTTGTAAAATTTGGAATTAAAACATATGTTACGACTTTTAAATTTTTAGCTGGGGTAAATTGGGAATTTATTTGGGAATTAATATTTTTTCTTTGTAATAATTTTTTTTTGTTACTTTCTGGTAGTTTTTGTTGTGATTTTTGTCTCTGTTTAAAATCCATTCGGTGTGTGAACAGGAAGCTAATTCAAAAATTTGTGGATGATGAAAGTGATCTTCATCGTGGGTATGTAGTGGTAGATTATAACATATTGATTCTTTAGTGGGTTGACAATAAACTTGTGTTTTTTGTTTGATTGGCATGTTAAGCAATCCTTGCATAATACTAAAAAGTAGTCCATATATTCGGTGGAGGTTGCAGTTCGTGTTTATCGGGGTGCAAAGTACTGCTACGCTCAAACTCTGCTATCATACAGTTTTTTTTTCACTTTGCTTTTTCTTTGTTTTTCCTTGTATTGAAATCTTAAAAAATTTCTCCCTAGCGCAATTTAAAATGTATTCATCTAACTTTTTATCCTAGTCCTAGCCAATTGTCATTTCTAGGGCCCAACATGCTTAGAATTTTGATTTTTTACCCTAGCTTTGTTTTCCTAGATTCTTGTTTTTTGGTGGATTTCAGAGGTTTGGGTTGGGACGCGAATTTTTCTCTGTTGATCTTCTGGGGCTGCTTTTATTAACTAATCTGGGTCTTATAGGCTTGATCTTGCGTCTCGCAAAATAAGGTTTCACGTTTTCTCGAAAAAATTGAAAATTTTGACCTAAAGTTCATTAAAAATTGTGCCATTTTTGGCCTGTTTTTCGAGGGTTTTTCGTGCAATTTGTGTCTTAAATTTTTTTTTGTGCTCAATATGGGTTCCACAAATATCTTTGCTAGTAATTGTAACTTCGGTATATTTGAAGAAAGTTTTTCTCATAAAAGAACAAAACTACTCGTATCAGGGCCAAACCCTGAAAGTTCCGACTGCCTTCCAAGATCTATGGAGCAATTGTTTAAATAAGAAAATGACAAAATTTTCAAAAAAAAATGGATTTATGCTCTTAAGTAACGTAGAATTTGATAAATTTCGCTCCTAGCATTGTAGAAGCTATGACAAATAACCTACTACAACCCATTTGGAACAATTTGTAAAACAGATTGAATGTCCGTTTTCCGTTTACGTGTTAATAGTGCGAAAAGTATAGCGCGTTAATTGTCCCAAATTGGCCATTTTGGCTATGTTTAAACCCTCATATCTTCACAAAAAAAGGATCACATGTGAAACATCTTTATCAATTGGAGCTCATGACTACAATAACTTTCGCCTGATTTAAAAAGAACCCTCGTAAAATTGTCTGGAGAATAAAAAGCCACCCGAGCATAAATATTCTGCCTTTTTCTTCAAAATTCGGAACCAAAATCAAAATATCAAAGTTTTAAACCATTTTTCCTCGTCATCCAGACAAAATTTGAAATTTAAATTAAAGAATTACAAGGTTCAAGTATGATATATCACTTAAGCCCTGTAAGTTGTGTAAGATATATTAGACAACCCCTACGATAAATGTTTGTGGTTCCTAATTTTGCGTGGAAAAAATTCAAAAATAAAAAAAAAAACTAAAACCAACCCAAATACGAAGTTTCTCCCCACTTTCAATGCTCGGAAGAAAATTAAAATAAGTACTTTATTTAAATTGGTATGCTACATGCAACAAGCAATTTTCAAATTAGGTATCTAAATTGTTTTTATGGCTGACTAACCGTGTGAATCCAGAATGGCAGTCTCCCTCTGCATGTTGAACGAGTACAGAGAGAGGGACACGGACACAGTGCAATTGAGAGGGGGGTTGTTGGGGTCCCCTGACACCGGGCTGGTCTCCTTGCTGCCTCCGTACGGACCCTGTCGTCTCACTAATATAGACACAACTCATAACAATTAGCAACACAAATTACAATATATCTAGCCAACATAACCAGTAATAGCTGATATCGCAATAATATTACGATGAAGAGTTGTCAGAAAAAGCTGGATTGCTTATAATTGTACGTAGTATTTAAAAAGGGGGCTAACAGTGCGACTATTCCCCAGAAAACCGAACAACTCCTAAGCGTCCATTCCCAAGTGGTAAAATGATTTTCACTTCGTATAAAAACCCACCGCAGAATAAAGCAAAGAGGAAAAAAGGTTAAAAGGATGAATATGAGTTTTCTTTTGATGAAGTCTTAAAGAAATTTGAAAGTCAAATCAATGGATGTTCGAAAAGGCAGAATTAAAAGACCTGTCAGAAAGCACTTTTTGATGTGTTAAATGCAAGAAATGTATAGGCGCAGTAGCGTCGCATGATTGAAAAAAATTATTCGAGGTTGGTTGGGAAAAAAGAGAAAGATTCAAGGATGACCGAAAATGACAACTGAGTTACCTTTTTAAGGTTGAACATCCGGCAGTAATGATTCATTAAAATTAAGGAGAGTGGAATTGACCGGTTAATTCTGTATTAAATGAGTATAAGACAAACAGCTCCAGACTAGAAAAGGAATCCAATCCAAATGACAATCTCAATTTATTCAAAGTACCAGTAAATGTCAGTCAAATATGTCATTCTGTTATGAAATCAAATGTAAAAGAACAAAATAGCAAAAAAAAACTAAGCTTTCGAAAGGTTAAACTTGCAAAATGGTACAATTGTTAATTGGCTTCTGATAAATGATGAACAAAATGAACAAAAGAGAAATTGGAAAAGTGAAAAAAAATTGATTCAGTTCAAAAACAGTTAAGTCAGAAATAGTTTGTGCGAAAAATGATCAGGCCAGTACAGTTATTTTCCGACTAGCTCATGTCAATTTAGATTCTCAATGGACGAAAGAACAGTTGGACGTTCGCGCATTAATTTGATTTTGTATTCAGTCATCATTACTTCTACTTATAAAACCAGGATCGGATATTGTGAAATGCTAGCGGGTTCCGGTCACAATGAGATGGCTTCCTTCTTTTGAGACTCCATCCATAGAGAACTTACATGGGGTCATTGAATGGAACCGAGCTTAATTTTTTTATTCGGGAAACAAGATTGTAAAAAATGTGGATTTAACTCATCTAAGAGTAGATCATTATAGATAAATTGTGCAAACCAATCTGAACAGTTTACAAAAATTATCGAAAAAGTGTTTTGGGAAATTTTTGTAAGAGAAAAGAAGCCTTGGAACAAAAAAAAATAAATAAAAACTCGTGAAAACAGATCTGGGTAACTTGAATGAATAAACATTTTTTGATACTCGCCCCTATCAAGGTGTAAAATTACTGACGTAATGATGTAAAAAGAGGTACAAAGAGTGTCTGGGCGGATATTAAACGGTCTCTTGGTCACATGGACTCGCTCCGCGGCGCCCAATAATGCCAGAGTCGAACAACAATCGAGATGCGATTCAGTAATTAGATTACTTCTGGGCTTATGGCACTGAAAAGGCATTATTTTGATGGAAAGCGCGGCCTCCCATTTAAAGCTGGTTTTTGTTGCTATGTTTTAGGGAGTGATTGAGCAACAAGCCAGATTCAATTCAGTTTTTAATCTGCTTCAAGGAATTAATTAAAAGAGACACATCAAAAAAGCACACAATGTATTTTGGAAATTGTTGCTCTGTTTTCGTTGATGGATGCGAGTGTCGTGTACATGAAGGATGTCTTGCAAAAGGAGTTTCGTTATTAGGTACAAAATAAACATATGCTTAACCATGCATTTATTTCTGTATGGCGGGTAGCAATTCGTTAATGGGTACCCTGAGGGGATTAGTTAAAGAAATTCTACAGAAAAAAAGTGTCCCGACTTTCAAATTTTGGCCTCATATGTTTTCAGGCTTTAAAAAACTAATTGCCAGCTAAAGTATTTTTTAAAATTTTGCAAAGAACATTAGCTCAGATAAAAAATTTTGTAAAATTTCTTTTTAATGAGTCAAAAAATGAATTGGGGATAACTGCAGGGGCGCATCTAGAATTTTATTGAGGAGTAAGAATTTTAAAAGGGTTTCAAAATTTTGAATAAAAAACAGGCTAAAAATGTCGTTTTGAGCACTTCTAAAGAACACTGGACCAAAAAATTGCGTTTTTTAGGAGCGCTCTTCCCCCTCAAAATAAGTAATATTGGCGCCACATGTACCATTAGAAGATTTCTAGGGTCAGCAAGCAAACATGGATATCTCAAAATATCTCAAAGTAGATATCTTCCTTTGGGTCGGCAATTAGTCGAATCTCTGAGAACAGAGGGCATCCCCTCCCTAAATCCGCCCTTGGACAACTGTTTATACAAAAATGGTTAACCAAAACTTAAATCTTTGGAAATCTTAAAATATTACTAGAAACTAAAAAAAAAATTTGACACACAGGTGAAACGGAGCTTTGCAACAATTTTGCGATGCAAAAACACAAAATGGTGAATGAAAACAAAACGCAATTCAAAAAAAAATGAAAAAGTAACTTGACAAAAGCTGAAAAATTACAGCAAGAAGAACTTCATAACTGTATCAGACGAAGTTCATAAACAACCCTTAGTCATTGAAAATTACCGAGAGGCAGGGGATCAATGATTTGCTCGAGGGGTGGGGGCGGATTTTCAAAAATTGTTAAAAATTGTTGTCTACTTTTATTAGGTCGACCAAATTGATTTTTCGAGATCTCTCAAAGGACCCAAAAGTCCCTGTTTTGGCCAATATTTCTGCACCGCAGGAAAAATTTTTAAAAAACAGGCCAAAATAGGCAAAAACTATGACCAAAATAACTGCGTTTTTTTTGGCGGGAACTCCCCCATCAAAATTAGTATATGTTAGCGCCAAAGGCGCCTTTAGAAAGATTTTTGGGTCCATCACAAAAAAAGATATTTCGAAATAGTACAATAGTGGGAACCTCTGGATCGACAGGGGTCGAAACCTTGAGAAGGGAGGGACAGAGTGACCGCCAAACCCCGCGCCCCTCCACCCCAATTCCGAGTGATCCTCCCCCCTGCCGAGTGACAACAAAGGCGTCAAACTTTGAGTCGAAACCTGTTGAGCCGAAAACAAAACTGTTGTCATAAAAAGTTTCCTTGAATTTTAAAGTTTTTACCATCCATCCAAATTGAAACACATAATCCCAAACGTATATGTTTTGCCCTCAAAATCTCTTAAAATAAGTTGACTAAGTCGGTATAACATAAACTGAAACTGTTTGAATATTAACAAAAACGAAAAAAATTGAAAACAAAATTGTGAGAAGTTTCAGTTATAGTAAAACTGTTTAAATACAAAAAAAACACATGCATAAAAAATAAAGCAATAAAAACCTTACCAGATAAAAAATGGCGTTTAGAAAATGGAAATCTAACCGACATAAATTAAGACGAAAAAAGGGAACACGAAGAAAAATTGAGAAATTTTTTTTAGAAAAGTTAACTACAACCTGAAACGGGCTTGAACTAATTATTACTTAAGTGATAGTTTTTTTGAACTTTCAAGAAATTGACCAGATCAGTTGAAAATATTTCTAGAAGTGAACATAAGTGAAAATCATGCGGAGAAAAATGATTACTGGAAAAAACCGATTGCAATACTCTTTTGCAATGCCTTAATAACGGATTGCAATTCCGTTGCATATCGCAAAGTTACTTAGATTCTGGAAAATTTATTTGATTAACTTGATAAAAGTTTTATGAATATTTAAGTCAAAATTCTTCAAATTTAAGTAATCTAAATACACAGTTCAAAAATTCATCTTGTTTACATATTACTCAACACTTCTGCATTTCAGATTTACAAGAAAAAAAATGTATGACAATTTTCTGGCCGAACAAATTAATTTCTTACTGCCGTAATTAATCAAGCAAAAACTAATGCGCCTATATAAGAAGTCTAAAATAAGGCAAACCAAATTGCATTAAGTTTTCTTAGTTTTTATGAAAATTAAAGCTAACTAGCTTCTCTTCCTTCAAAACTTTATTCCAAGTTTATAAAAAAAGCACTCCTTCCATACCCAGAAAATCAAATGGCGACGAATTAAAGCCACATCAAAAAGTGAGCCGGTTTGAGTTGATTTATCCAGAAACATTAAATTATTAATGAAATAAACGCAATTTTTTTTTGAAAGGGCTGTTGAAACAACATTTCAGCTCATCGCCAGCCGCCCTGGAAAGATAAAACAAGAAGACAAGTAGAAAAGTAGGCGCCTGTTCAAAAAAGGTTTTATGAGCAAATCATTATCTATAATGCAATTTTTGCAAAAAAAATTGTAGAAATATTTCAAATTCGCTTGTTTTCAGGCTTTCAATATTTTTGAGAGTTAGATGAGATTCTATCATTATATCATATGATCGAAATCGATGTCTTTTTAAAGACTTCTTTCGACTTTGCTAGGAAAAGGCACAGTTCGTAGCACACCTTTGCTGGAACTACAAGTGACACGACAGTTTGTTATATATATTTTTCAACAACTCATCCCCTTTTTGGTGTCTCAAAATTTGAAAAAATTCCTTAAACAGTTCATACAGATAAATTTCATACACGTTTAGAATATTTTTTGTTCATTATCTCCCAGACAGATTCCGATTTTTCTTAAAAAAGATAGTTCTCATAATCTTTTTCTGAAACTTGTGTTTCCTCCAGATGAGTTTTATATGTGTTACCATAAACCAAAAACCCGTAGAAAATCACTGATTCAGCATATGATGTATAAAAATGAAGCAATTGTGTTTTTGAAAAATACAGCGTAGCCTTATAAACTAATCCCCAGAATCTAGACAACTTTTTATTAATTGATGAAATGTGCTCAATAAAAATTAATTTTGGTTCAATATTTATACCTAAATACATGCAAGAACTCAATTTTCAATTTCCCAACCCAAACATGATTTGTCGGCAAACTTCTTGTTAATAGCTCATAGTTTGTCGGC